GCCCGCGCGCGGGTCACGCCCTTCCCCTCCGGCCCCGCCCGCGGCCCGCACCTTTCCAAGTCCATGCCCCCGGCCTGAGCGCCAACTTTCGATTCGGAACCGACGTGTTTCTCCGTGTCACCCGATCGTTCCCGAATCTACTCCCACGACTCGATTCTTCCGTTCCCGTCGCCCCGGAACACCGACTTGCGATTCTGGGATAACTTACTCCGTCGAGAAGCATCTTTTCCGAAAGTCCCGGAGCCGCGGGGTCCTTCCGGTGCCCCGTGAGCCTAGAACAAAGCCTGCCTTTCATACTTAGCTGGGCACTGCTTGCTCCGACTGACCCCAAGGATGGCCATTTACTGACGCGCACGTTCGAGAAAGTGATTGGGGTTGGCCGGTCTTGGTCCCATTTTGGCGTTTGGTTAAGATTACGCTTTCTTTGGGATACTTTGGGGGGAGAAAGCCATTTGTGGGTATTGATAGGACAGCTAGACAGTCAAGCGCCTTTCCAAGTGATTGGATTTACCTTGCAAAGTCTGTTTAGGATTGGTCAGGTTTCAAGTGAAAGGAAACAGTGTGAATCACAAATTTTGCTACAAGCAGCCATGCTCCAAGATGATTTTGATTTTACCTTCCCCAGGCTAGTCTCAATTCTTGAAATGTTTTGTGGAGTAACAGCTCCGATTTAGCTTCCTTACTAGTACTGTGTAGGACCTAGTCAACTTAATTGTGCCCCAGAGGGAAATTCCTATCAGTCTTGGTTTGGAATCTATTTCTATAATCTACAAATTCTTGCCTTATCCTAGTGACTAAGTCCAGCCTTGGCTGGATTTACCTGTGCAACTTGAAATCTTTTTCTTAACCATTATTCTATCGTACAGTGCCACTAGTGTAGATTTAAGTAAGCTAGGAGAGGGAAAAAAGAATGGCTGTTTAGGATGATGATGAGAGCAGTGATTACAATTATTATGGTGGTGTTTAGCTTTCCTGGGTTGCCAAAGAAAATGAGTTGAAGCCTAAGACTCGTTAGATTTCCTTCACCTTGAAAACACTGCTTTCTTCTCCAGCTCTCTTCTCTAGGCTTCTGGTTGGGATGGTTAAAATGATCATAAGTGACCTGACCTTTCGAGCTCTGAATTTGCCTGATTTTAGGGTTGAGGTAAGAGGGACAGGATATCCCACTTGGGTTTTTAAATGTTTTCTCTGCACACACTGATGATATGGTTAGATACCATTTCACTTACACCTTTGTGCTAGCTGCTTTTTGAGGTATTTTTAAATTAGCACACTCTTACACACTTATGTTTATACTGTTTGAGTACTGCTGATTTAAAAAAAAATGGGCAGGGCAGTTAAGTGAAAAGTGTCATTACCTTGTGGATGGTGGCTAAGCCTGTTTGAGTCCTGTTTTCCTGCTGCTTTTCAGTGGTAGTTATGTCCCTAGATGTTGGTCATTGTGATCCCAGCAAAAATGTCAACTCAAATGGTTTGGGTGATTCATGTCTGTAATCCTAGCTACTCAGGAGGCTGAGGTCTGCGGGTTGCAATTCAAATTCAGTAGTCAGGAAAGTCTGTGAGACTTATCTACAATCAATCAGCAAAAAGCCGGAAATGGAGCTGTCGATAAAGTAGTAGAGTGTCATCCTTGAGCAAAAAAAGCTCAGGAATAGCATCCAGGCCGCCGTACCAGTACCAAAACATTAAAAATGTCAACTCGGACATTTTCTCTAACGTTGCCACCTAGTCAGTCATTATTTAACTAATTGCTCTTCTTGCAGGCACTGCCAGCTACTAAGCAGCAGTCATTTTACCTTATTCTTAGTGCCTAAAAGGATAACTGCCACATAATGGTATTTGAGAAGTCTGTGGAAAATGATTCCATTTGGGCATTGATTACATTTTAAGGAAAAAATTAACAGGCATTTTTTAAATTGCCGGTTAATGTAAATGAACAAAATACTGCAACCTACTAGGCCCTGTCTTTAGAGACCAGGTTTTTGTAAAATTCCTGAGTACAAGTATTGAAATACAGGGCTGGGAAGGTGGCTCAGTGGTAGAGCGCTTGCCTTGCATGCCTGAGGCCCTGGGTTCGATTTCTCAGCACCACATAAGCAAAAAGAAAAAAAAAGCCAGAAGTGGCGCTGTGGCCCAGGTGGTAGAGCGCTAGCCTTGAGCTAAAGAGCTGAGGGATAGTGCCCAGGCCCAGAGTTCAGGCCCCACGACCGGACACCCCCCCAAAAAAGTATTGAAATACAGGGACCTTCCACAGTTAACTAACCTGTGGAAATTGACTGCTGTATGAGCTAATAAACACATAGTTTCAAGAGTTACATATAGTTGCATTCATCTCAGGGTGGCAAGATTCTTTTATTAAGTCTGGAAAATAATACTAATAGAAAATATTCTTGTAAGAAGTCCATATAGTAGGCAGGGGTTTGTAAATATGTGGTTATTCTCTTTTAGGGATGGCTAATATTAAACCAAATGAGGAAGATATTTGATGTCATTGGTATATTTTTAAGTCATTCATGGTATACATCAAATCACTGAATTCATTGTTTTGGTATTAAGAGTACCATCATCTGTTTACAAAACTGTAAACAGTGACAACTGTCTACTCCGTGTTACATTCTTTTCTCTTTCTCTCTTTTTTTTGGTTGGTTGTGGAGCTTGAACTCCGGGCCCCTCAGCTCAAGCTGAAGCTCGAGCCACAGCACTACTTCCGGTTTTCTGGTGGTTTATTGGAGATAAGAGTCTCAAGGACTTGCTTGCCTAGGCTGGCTTTGAATCTTGATCCTCAGATCTCGGCTTCCTGAGTAGCATGTCACATTCTTGAAAGGTTAATTAGCAAATCTTAAGACCCTTTCTGGGTGAGCAAGACTCAAGTCTTATTGAAAGTACTTGGGGAAACCATTAAACTTTACCAACTGGTATTTCCCTTCTCTTATGTATAGGTTTCTCAGGCAGCTGCAGACTTGAAACAATTCTGTCTGCAGAATGCTCAACATGATCCACTGCTGACTGGAGTATCTTCAAGTACAAATCCCTTCAGACCCCAGAAAGTCTGCTCCTTTTTGTAGTCTAGTAAATCTTTCAAAGGTAAGTTGTCTTAAATAAAACAAAATCCCATATAATAGGAATAACAGTCAAGTCTTCATTTTCAGCCTTAACCATATAATTTTGTTTGGCTCCATTAAGTTATTATGAAACCATTGTATCATCAGCCATGTGTTATTTTTTTTTCATGGCTTTGGCCAGATACCTGTTGTATTCACTTTATAAAGTGGCTTATTTTTCATTTTATATAAAACTTGGTTAAGTGGCCTGATCATATTTTGCTCAAGTATCTTAAGAACCCATTTCATAATAGAAGCTGTATCTCAGCCATACTTTGTGGATACAATTTGTAGCAATTTAGGAATAGGAAAGGATATCTGACTGTACAAGCATTGCTTCTTAAGAATTTGAATGCATCTCCAAATTAACTTCTTACAGTGCATATTACAATATAGTAGATCTGAGGTGAGGCTCTGGAACATGCATTTCTTAAAAGCCCTCTCATTTTAAGTATAGATGCTGATATTCCTAGTCTTATCCTGAGTATGATCTGGTTTTTTTTGTTGTTGTTGGTCGTGGAGCTTGAATTCTGGGCTTGGGCACTGTCTGCACTCTTCAGCTCAAGGCAAGTACTCTACCACCTGAGCCATAACGCCACTTTGTTTTCTAATGGTTTATTGGAGATAAGAGTCTCATAGACTTTCCTGCCCAGGCTGGCTTTGAACCCTGATCCTCAGATCTCAGCCTCCTCTCCACTTTGTTTTCTAAGGGTTTATTGGAGATAAGAGTCTCATGGACTTTCCTGCCCAGGCTGGCTTTGAACCCTGATCCTCAGATCTCAGCCTCCTGAGTAGCTAGGATTACAGGCGTGAACCACTGGCGCCTGGCCTAGGTATGATAAGTAATTTAGTAGTAAGTAGTACAGGAAAGGAACTTTCCTTGATCAGCATACGTAGAATTTGTCCATTAACAGAGTTTTCCTCTAAAGAGGAAAAAAATTTTTTGTGTAAAAATTTTTTGTGTGTGTGCTGGTACTAGGGTTGAAATCAGGGCCTCCTGCTTTCTCTTAGCTTTTTTGCTCAAGGCTGAACCAGACCTCTACTCCCAGCTTTTTGCTGGCTTTTTATTGGCTTTTCTGCCTTACATTTTAGCCTCCTGAGTAGCTAGGATTGCAGGCATGAGCCACCAGTGCTCAGGTAAGGATTTTTATTTTAAAAAATTAAACATCACTGGGAAATTTTATATTCTGCCTTTTAAAAACACTAATAAGCTGTGCATCAGGTTCACATCTGTAATTATAGCTACTCAGGAGGCTGAGATCCGGAAGACAGCAGTTTCAAGCCTGCTTTGACAGAATCTATCTCCAAAATAGCCAGCAAAAAGCCAGTGGAGGTTTGGCTTAAGAAGTGGTGTTAGTGGAGCAAACCCAAGATCCTGAGTACGAAACTTAAGTACTGCCTCTCCCTCAGAAAAAAATCACTAATGAATTTCCCTGTGTTCTTTATAAATAAGTTGTACTATAATTGTGCATCATTTAATATTTAGGTTTCCAAATCTGAGGTTACAGGGAGGAAAACATCTTTGTGACGTATTTATTCTTTGCCTCTTATTAACTTAAATTTCTAGAAGTAAAGTCATACAAGGAATAGACATTGAAAAGTTTGATAATATTTTAAAACCGTTGTCAATTTATTATTTTCCATGACCAGGAGCATGAATGAGTGGTTTCTTTGCTGGAACTCTTGCCAATCATGTTTCTTTTTCACCATAACATTTTGTTTATACTTCAAATCTGTGGTAAAATGCTTCAAATTTTCAAATACAAAGGTAGACAGTCTGCTATTCTGAGTTTAAATGCTTTACTTTGTTTTTCAAAATAAAACTGATTAGTATACCTTTTTTTATCTTTTCATTACTAATTAATGCCATAGTCAGTATGTGGGTTTGGGGTTTATGTGTGTGTTTTTTAGGTTTTTTTTTTTTGCTTTGTACTGTACTGTATTTTAAAAAATATTTGTTTTTAAGACATGTTTGTGGGCTGGGAAGGTGGCTCAGTGGTAGAGCACTTGCCTTTCATGCATGAGGCCCTGGGTTCAATGCCTCAGCACCACATAAGCAAAAAGAAAAAAGCTGGAAGTGGCCCTGTGGCTCAAGTGGTAGAGTGCTAGCCTTGAGCTGAAGAGCTGAGGGACAGCGCCCAGGCCCAGAGTTCAGGCCTCACGACTGACTCCCACCCCCCAAAAAAAGATATGTTTGTTAATATTAGATAATTCAGTTATGTAAACTAATATGTGCAAATGTTAGTTTATCCACTTTACTATTGAGTTACATTAAGGCTGTTCATATTTTTATGTTCTAGAAGCACTACTTACAGTCAATAACCTTAAACATTTCCTGTGTAAAGGTTTAGGTAAACAGATGTGTGATTATATCCTAAATATTGCCAAACTGTTCTAAATATTTTTGCCCATTTTTCAAGAGATGTTCAATCTTGCTATGTAATTGTAACTCCTCTGTATGGTATTTTCACAATTAAAAAAAGAGATGTTCAGATTTTTCTTGATACTCTTTTATTTTCCTTTATTATGACAATGTGTTTTAGCAGTAGTCTTACTAAATCAACTTGTAAGGTTTTGTTTTGTTGTTTTTTGGTCATGGGGCCTGAACTCTGGGCCTGGGTGTTGTCCCTCAGCTCTTCAGCTCAAGGCTAGCTAGTGCTCTACCACTTCCGGCTTTTTCTGCTTATGTGATGCTGAGGAATTGAACTCAGGGCCTCATGCATGCAAGGCAAGCACTCTTCTACTGAGCCACCTTCCCAGCCCAACTTGTAAGTTTTAAGTATTAAAAATAATGCTAGGTACTTTACAATGCTTATGAAAGTGGAAAAATAATTAGATTTACTCCCTACCACATAACAGGCTTTTCCTATCCTATTTCTCATTCTTCAGAATCCAGTCATACAGGCTTAAAAAAAATTCAGGTAAGTAAACAAGCTCAGATTTGATATAATTGATAATTGACTTTGCGGTGAATCCTTGGTGGTGAATCTTATCAGTGACTTAGGAAAGGATTGTTTAACAATAAACCCATTGTAAGTTGAGAGTGCATTTAGTATATCTAACTTAACAAACACAATACCTTGTTAGCTCTCAGTATGCTGTAGATATTAGTTGTTTGCCCCTTCACTTTTATTTTTTTTTGGTTGGTTGTGGGGCTTGAACTTAGGGCAGGGCCTGGGCACTATCTAGTGTTTTGCTCAAGACTAGTGCTTTGAGCCACAGTTCCACTTCTAGTTTTCTGGTGGGTAACTGGAGATGTCTCACAGACTTTCCTGCCTGGGCTGGCTTTAAACCATGGCTAGGTGTTCAGGCATGAGCCACTAGTGTTGACTAGGAGCCGTGGCTCGCTGCTGCCGTCAGCTATCTGGAGAGTACCGTACCAAATATCTCCAACCTAGGAAAAGATCACAATCAAAGTCTGAAGTAGTTTCTAATGATTGTGTATATTATAAACTTCGGAAATATAGTCCAGTCAGGCACCTTACGCTGTTAGAACTGTTCAGAGAATGAGCAATTTGTAAGAAGCTGTGAAATACATAAACAAGGACAAAGGTAATTGAGTGTTGTGTGTGTATGTATATGTATAAACCTATGTATATACAGATACTTTACCCTAATTCACCTTTATTTCCCCTTTCAGGATCTCCAGACTATTTCCTATGAACCAGTGAATATTCAAGAGAGAGAAAGTTGAAGCCTGTACAGAACCTTCTCTGTAACACACGTGCCATAAAATACCAACTTCTACTTAATGTCAGTCCTTAACATCTACCTCTCTGAATTTTCATGAATTTCTATTTCACAAAGTTAACTGTTTTATATACACTGGCAATGGCATACAATAAAATACTTAATGTAAAGGTTTTCTGTTTTGTCACTGATATTAATGTAAAGCTTTTGTTTTGTCACTGATATGAAATACACTGTACATTATTCTGTTTTCAATAAGGAAGGGGTTTCTAGTGTTCCAGTTAACTTTGTTTGGAAGCTGTACTGGGGTCTGAAGTCAGAGCCTTGGATTGTTTGGCAGGTTCTCTACCATTGGAACCACACCTTTACTCTTATACCCCTAACCCCTCTACTACTTTTTGTACATGTATTACCAGTTATATCCAGAAGCCAATTAACAGATGACATCATTTAACAAAGTTGTAATGGAGGAACCAAAAGTTAGCTTCAGTAGTTTGTAACTTCAAGTCATAATAAATCATTTTGTTTTTAAATTTTACCTTCTAATGAAAGGCAAAGAATTACCTTAGAAATTTGACCTCCAGTTTAATTAAGATTGTGTGCCAGACACTTGGGATCCAAAATTTGTCTAGTATTAAATCAGGAATTACATGCTATCACCCGTAATTTCTAACTTCCAAGTTCTTTGAGTATGCAAATGGGAAAATTAAACTGAATCTTGATCCCAGTTTATTCAGTTACCCTAAAGTAAGAGAATTAAGTACTAGTAAATGTAACTACAACTTCTATGCCCATACCCAAAATACTTTTATTTGTAATTGCTAAATAAAAATACAATAGAACTTATGGCATTATTTTTGACATGACTGGCCTATGAACTCAAGAAAGACCATTTGAAAAGGATGTTAGATCAAATAATTGATCAAGTTCAAGATAAGCTTTTACAGCAAAATCTAATACTATCCCTCCAGTATTTTATAAATGGAACTTTCTTCGACTTGTATCCATTTCCCGTGGCTGAAAATTAGAGAGGAGAAAAAAATATAATGAACAATTTAGGGTAAGGCTTTTCAGAAGTAGAACTTGCACTGAAAAACTGGTTTTGTCTCTGAGATCACTGAATACTCATCCTAGATCTGACATAAAGATGTTGCAAGTTAACTTCCACACCTGTAACTTTTATTAAGTATGTACTACTTACTAGACAGAATTACAAAATGGACATTTGCATTTCTGATTTAAGATGCCTTCTAAACCAAATATGGTCTCAAGAAATATGTAGAAACAATGTAACACAAGCTTAAACTGAATGTTGGGCTCTGTTCTCCATGTCCAATACCTCTGGGACCCAAGAATTACCATTCCTACAGTGATACTGCTGGTCCCAATTTAAACCACTGATCTGTAAGTTGTTTAACAGTTAATCAGGAAGCCAAGATACCACATCAGATTGGTTCTTTTCCAGAAGCATACCTTAAGGCCTAACCACCTAAAGTTTAAGGCATATTTTTTTTTCTTTTAAAATTATTTAAATAGGGGGCTGGGAAGTTGGCTCAGTGGTAGAGCGCTTGCCTTGCATGCATGAGGCCCTGGGTTCAATTCCTCAGCACCACATAAGCAAAAAGAAAAAAGCCAGAAGTGGTACTATGGCTCAAGTGGTAGAGCGCTAGCCTTGAGCTGAAGAGCTGAGGGACAGTGCCCAGGCCCAGAGTTCAGACCCCACAAATGGACCCAAAATAAATAAATAAATTTATTTAAATAGGTTTTCAAACAACACATACCTTGTGGACCCATTCATACTCTCCATATTTAGAATCAAAGGTTCCTTTCTGTAGAGATCTTAGTTTTAAGGTAAAACGTGGCCCAAGTTCCTGGATTCCCACTTTCTTTTCACTCTTGAATATGTATCTTCAAAAACAGATTTAATATTAAGTAACGGGTGGAACTACATGCAATGGCTCAGATCTGTAATCTTAGCTACCTGGAAGGAAACTGATTCCTTTGCCACACCCCCTTGACCAATGTATGTATGTGCCTGATATCCTGACTAGATAATAAGTATAGTAGGAGGATCATAGTCCAGGTGCATGCTGGAAGAAGTGAGAGATCTGAAAAAAATGCAAGAAAGGGATGGAAACATGGCTGAGCAGCAGGGCACCTGCCTAGCAAGTACAAGGCCCTGAGTTTAAAAAAAAAAATCAAAGTATTACCACATGGGGAAAAAACAGTTGGGTTCACCAAACTATTCCTGACAGAGGTTAATGCATTAATGATTTGTCATAATACATAAGGAAGTAAGTTTATGTTGAAAATATTTCAACATAAATATTGACACTAAAGTCCAAGATAGATGTCTTACCTGTGAAATCTGAAGAAGATATAATCTCGCTGATTGTGGAATGTAGCAACCTGCCTTCCAATAAATTGAGGGTTATGGGGGAAAAGGGAAGCAAACATACGTCCAATTGAATGACCCAGCCGTGTAGTAAAATTATTCAGAATGATTTCAGGTACATGTTCAGTAGGGTCTTTCCCTCTTCTCTAGAAAAGAAAAAAACAGTTTAAGCTAACAAAAGTCCATCTCAATGCAGTTAAAATCAGATTTTACTTATTTTTTGTTGGTCGTGGTGCTTGAACTCTGGGCCTGGGCACTGTCCCTGAGCTCTTCAGCTCAAGGCTAGTGCTCCACCACTTGAGCTACAGCGCCACTTACAGTTTTCTGGTAGTCAATTGGAAATAGTCTCATGGACTTTCCTGCCAGGGCTGGCTTTGAACCATGATCCTCAGATCTCAGCCTTCTGAGTAGCTAGGATTATAGGTGTGAGCTGAAGAGTGCAAGCCCCACGACCAGAAGAAAAAAAAAGGAAATCCTTACTATAAATTAACATGCTTCGGGGCTGGGAAGGTGGCTCAGTGGTAGAGCGCTTGCCTTGCATGCCTGAGGCCCTGGGTTCGATTCCTCAGCACCACATAAGCAAAAAGAAAAAAGCCGGAAGTGGCGCTGTGGCTCAAGTGGTAGAGTGCTAGCCTTGAGCTGAAGAGTTGAGGGACAGCGCCCAGGCCCAGAGTTCAGGCCCCACAACCGGACCCAAAAAAATTAATTAACATGCTTCATAGTAATGAGCCATAACTCGATCACAACGCCATAAGAATAGTCAATAGATAACCTTGCTTTAATCAGAACAAATTATTACAAAATCAATTAAATCTAGAAGCTATTCTAATCAAGTGAGATCAAGGAGTACCAAAAACTCACCTTAATTTCTTTTCGAAGCCGAACGCTGCTCATTTTAAAATGAGCAGTTGGACCATTTGGCAAGTGACACAAAATAAGTCCATCTGTTCACAAAAGTTAAGAAACAACTTTAATTTTAAATCTAAATAACTAGTGTCCAAAGATTCCTAAAATCAGTTGGTGGATATTTATTCCTTTGGGTTTACTGAACTTTTAATTCCATACCCAAAGCTCAAACATGTCAGTCTAAATATTTCAAAAAATATATTTAACCTAGAGTAGTCCTCTTCCTTTCCTTTGTTCCTGCCTCTTCCCTTTTCTTTGCTTATCCTTCTTTCCTCTCTGGTTGGTTGTTACGTAGGTCAGTTTGGCCTGGACCTCAAAATCTTGCCTCTGCCTCCTGAGTGCCTCACTTAATTTTTTTCTTTTCTTAAAATGATAAATACCCATGCATTACTGCCAATGGGGGTTCCTAGGTTTTCAACTAAAATATATATGTGGGGTGGGGGGGAGAGGCTATTTATACTGACTTTTACTGAGATACTTTTACTGAGATACTTTGAGATTTTCTACCTAAGGTTGGTCCTATATCTTATTTCAAGTATATCTAATACAGACTGTAAACTATCTAGATTTAGGCCTTGGTTCTCTAATAATCTATGAGACTTGGAACTGTACTATTTTACATCATATTTTTCAACATGCTAAGTGAAGAACTAGATACCTTCATAGTCCCAAAGCTGTATCTAATTCCTTATTATTATCATTATTGACTCACCCATCTTGTAAAGACATATATATATACAAACATATAATACTCATATTGCTACAAACTGCCTTTTTAAATATCCTTTTTTTCCCAGTAACTTGTTTCTTGACTAATAGGCAATCACAATCTTAACATGTATTTTTTGCTCACACTATTTTGATCATCTGCATTATTTCTTTCACTTATTAAAAACCCATTTCAAATCCCACATTCCTCCCAACCTAGTATTAGGTTTTGAACTCAAGAGCCTTGTGCTTAAGAGACAGGTGAGCTAACACAAGTTATACGTCCACTCTTTCTTTGCTGGTTAATTTTGAAATGAATCTCAAGAACTTTGCCTGAACTGGCCTTGAACTTTGATTCTTCCACTTTGTCCTGAGTAGCTAGGACTAAAGACATAAGGCACTAGTGAATGGCTCAGGTCCCACCTCTTTGCACAAAATTAAGGTCTAAGTCTTATTAGCTTTCTTTGGTCTTATTATAGCACTCAACACTTGAAGAGCGATGAAAATGCCTTTCTTCACAACTTCTTTTAACTCTTGGAATTAACCTGTTTCATTTAAGCATTAATTAGTGTCAACTACATCACAGATTAGTAGCAAACATTTGAATTCTTTTTAAAGATTCACAAAAGGTTCAACTTCATGAAGTATAGCCATGTATTTCTTTATTAACTGTACACTGAAAAAACTCACAAAAAAGAAAGTGGCTAGATGTAAAAGTAATTTCTTTAGAGCCAAACAAAGGCTTGAATCTTTTCTAGAATATTACTATGTTATGGTTTGTATACAAAAATCTAACTTCATCAGCTCCTAAAATACATGCTTTCCTGGCACATACAATACCCAAGAAGCTCTGTTATTGCCTAAATAATGCAAAACAGGAGTAATATGCCTATTTTAGTAATGAGAAAAGGTGGCTGACAGTTTGTCCTACAAATTGTCTAATATGTATGGCAAAGCAAAACAGTTGGATACATTTTAAGTAAAATACAATTTTTACAAAGAAAACTCTATAGGCTTTTGGAAGGCTATAGATCATATTAGTGAAAATTCTGTGCCTTTAGGAAATATCTCAGTTCAACAAGAAGATATTTATTGTATTGATAAATGCCAGCTCTTTAGTTATTAGCAGTCTGGAAACAATGTTAACTGCTAAAAGAAAAGAGAATCAGGCTGGGAGCTGGTGGGTCATGCCTGTAAATCCTAGGTACTTCCCAGAAGGCTGAGATCTGAGGATTGCAGGTCAAAGCAAGCCTAATTAACCACAGAAAACCAGAAGTGGAGCTATGGTTCAAAGTGGTAGAGGTCTAGCCTTGAGCAGAAGAGCTCAGAGACAGCCCTCAGACCCTGAGTTCAAGCCCCATGACCAATGAAAAAAACAAAAAACAGGTTTTACAATTATAAAAAGGATATTAATAGTTTTTTTCCTAGAAAAGTAAGGAGTTTAAAAGATTTTAGTGTATTAATTTTGCCAATCCAAATTATAATAAAGCAACAAAACACATGAACAAGCTATACAGTTTTAGTTTCTAGAAAAATAAGTCATAAAAATCATGTTTGAAAAATATAGCTTTTTAAAACATTAATTTAAAATGATTACTCTTCATTAATATAAAAAGAATGTATAATCCTATTAGTTGGGGAAAGTCCTCTTGTTATCTCATAATTCCTCAATTTCAGATTAGTAATTCTGACTTATCTAACTGGTCATTTTAGCTACTGATTTCACTGACACTGTTCAATAACTAAGTAAAATAAGAATAAAAACAAACCTAGATATCTTTTATATGATCCCATGTCAAAACAGAAATGTGTTATTTCTGACACTATTTACTTCAGATCTGAAACTCATAGCAAAAGTTTTACTGTTACTGTCTTCTACAAGGCTGCCAACTTGGGTGTGTTTGCCTATAATCCCAACTTCCTAGGAGGCAAAAATCAGTTCTTGGTTTAAGGCCAGTCTGGACAAAAATGTGAGAACCTGTCTGAAAAATATCTAAAGACAAGAAAGGCTGGGGCCTTGGCCTAAGTGGTAAAGTACCTATCTAGTAAGTACAAAGCCCTAAGTTCATATCCCAGTATAGCCAAAACTTTTAGGATACTTGGTACTTTACGATCTTCATTGATAACAATCAGATCTGTGAAGTCTCTTGAGATACACTGTGGAATAATTTTCTTCAGAGCCAGTCCTCTTCTATAATAAACATGTGAATCTGGTATAACTGTGGAAAGCTGTTCACAAAGTCGCACTGTTCTCTAAAAAATAAAGTAACAAAATCTCTGAAAAGTGAAAAGGAATGTTATATAGTATACACTCATAGGAGAGGAGTAAGATAGTATTATCACTAGAGAAAAAATCTGGGAGAAGAATCAAATCAGACAACATCTCATCTTTTAATAAAGGCGGATTGTCAAAATCAGTAGTTCTCAACAACAGATGACTTTGCTCAACCAAAGTAGATGTGACAACATCTATAGAGACATTATCATGGTGGGGCAGAAAGAAGAAGTAGAAGTAGTTGCCACTAGCATTTAACTGATAAGACCCTGGGAATGCTACTAACATCCTAAAATGAAGATAGTGTACTATAATAAAAATTGCCCAGCCCAAATTATTAATAGCACAGAGGTTGTGAAACGTTATCCTGAAGTCATGCTTAGTACTCGTACATATCACTAGCTACTTTTATTTAGGTTATCATAGGCATTATCTAAGGCAATTACCTAATTCTTCTTAACAGAATACTTTAAATCACAGAATATAAGAAAATTAACTCAAAAGGTGAAATAATCAACATTTTTACCCCATGAGGTCTATCTGAAGTAGTGATAAGAATTTTGGGAGAGGTTTGTCTGTTGAAGTAAGAAGAAAATTCATCTGTGGCTTCATCATAAGCAACCTAGAACAGAGAAGAGATGAATTTTACAGGATTGTCCAACCTAGCTGACAAGATTTAAAGAACCAAGATAGCATGATGTTAATGGCATCATGTGAAGAGGTTGAATGATTTCCTTTCTGCAAGCATACAAATGTAAAACTGGTAAGACTGTCAAAAATCATCTCAAGGCACAAACTACACGTACCCTTTTGAAAAATGGTTAAGAAGAGCTAGAAGCTTCTTTATGCTATTTCTATTTCCCTTATTTGCTTGATTGTTTCAAACAACCAACTTTAAGGGTGACAGTAAGAACTACCAATCTGAGATTCACAGGTGAGAGATTCAAAGACAAGGAGAGTAAATGGTGATGTTAAGGTGATAACACAAGCCTGGATTGCAAACCAAGTTCAGGGTAAAAACAAGCAAGAAATTAAAGAGGTGCTAGAAGTGACAGAGCCATAGAAGTGACAGAGCCATAGAGGGGCTGAGATAGCTTCCTTCCAAATTGGTGACTGACACCAATCTTACACGTGAGCTGGAGAAGACCTGAGAATCTACTGAGGCAAGGTAAACTTGAAAATTGGCTGCAACTGTGAAGGCATTCCTAGAGCCAGAGCTCAGATGGAAAAATGTATGTATGTCTTAGGAGCTTAAGGTGTCTCGACAATCCTTGCCTAATCATTGGCTGACTGTTAAGCTGTCCAAACACAGAAGCAATTCCTAGGGAAGTACATTAAAAATAATAAAAAGTAGCTGAGTGCTGGTGGCTTACACCTAGAATCCTAGCTACTCAGTAGGCTGACATCTGAGGATCCCAATTCAAAGCCAGCCCACGCAGGAAAGGCTATGAGACTCTTATCTCCAATTAACCACCAGAAAACTGCTGTGGCTCAAAGTACTAGAGTGCTAGGCTTGAACAGTTAAGCTCAGGTGCTGAGTTCAAGCCTCATGACCAACAACAACACAAAAGAGTAATTATTAAAAGCAAGGATTTGAAACATGATTCAAGTGATAGAACACTTGCCTAGCAAGGCTCTGAGTTCATATGCTAATACTGAGAAAGAAAGCAAGAAAGCATGAAAGAGAGAGAGAGAGAGAGAGAGAAAGAGGGGAAGGAAGAAAGGGAAGGAGGGAAGAAAGAGACCCAAAAGCAAAGCAAAACAACAACCAAAAAAAAAAAAAGCACCTCCCCGAAAAAACACATAAAGCAAAACTGATCAAAGAAATAGTTCTATTGTCCAAGACATACTACATCCCACACCAGAAGGCCAAGTAAGTTACAAAACAGCAAAAAAGCCCAGAGATTCTACAGTATGTTTTCTAAAATGTCTAATTTTCATTGAGAGAAAGAAAAGGTTAAACCAGTAGAGAACTTCCCAAACAAGCCAAAGGCCCTGAATTCAAACACCAGTATTGCCAAAGGGGTCAAAAAAGTGTGCAGGTGCTTATATATATAAGCAAGCATATTAATCCAACTATTCAGAGAGCAAAAGATAAATCAGAAAATTACTTAGGCTGAAAACCCAATACATTTGTATAAAGTGCTTATTGCATTTTCTCATAACATTATTAAGAAGGTCAGTTATGAAACAATCTGTATTAAATGAAATAAGCCAACATTATAGGAGAATCAGTTCATTATATGACAGTGATGGTCTGCAGTTTCACTTGTGACTTCTAACATTACCTCTTCATCATTAGGATCTACAGTGGTTTCATCATAAACTCGTTGGTTGTCAATTGTCTTGGGTACAGGTTTTGGTGGAGCCTAAATGAAAGAAAGAATTAAGTTGCACAAATAATCAATTTACATTAAAGTTACAAACATACTTCCCAAGACACATTCTATTCTTCATTTCCACTCATTGCAACTAGCACTATCAATCTCAGCTCTAGCAATCTCAATAAAAAAAATATTTAGTATTAATACTGCTTCCAAGCAATCTGACCAGAGACATACACATGACTGGAAGAATGGCTAAAATTAAACAAAGTGGCTTAAAAACAGGCAGAAGCTGGGTGCCACTGGCTCAAGCCTGTAATCCTAGCTACTCAGGAAGCTGAGATCTGAAGATCCCAGTTTCAAGCCAGTCTGGGCAGGGAAGTCCATTAGATTGTTATTTCCAACTGACCACCAAAAAGAGCTGGAAGTAGAGATGTAGCTCAGGTGGTAAAGCACTAGCATTGAGCAAAAAACAGAGATATGACAATAATTATTCACCATTGAGAAAAATATCAAGTAGTAAAATATCAAGTAGTAAAATATCAAGTAGTAAAAAAGCAACAACTAAAAAAAAAAAGTAAAAAGCATGTGATTTTGTTTAAGTACTTTCAGAAAACTATCAGAATATATAACCAAAGTTTATCCAGTGACCTACTAATTCTACTTCAGAGACTCTACTACAGTAAGAAATGAAGGTAGGAGTCATTTACACAAATGCCCAACATTATTTCCACTGGACATGCAGCAGATTTAAAATAAGAGGGTAATGACTGCACATTATAGAACATTAGCTTGGCGCAATAATGTTTAAAGATATTAACATTGCTTGATGTTATATTAGAATTATATAGGTTAAAATAGCATAATATTGGCAATTTCACATGATTTGATCAAATACTATTAGGAGAATGCATGAAAAAGCAGTATTAGTTTGTATATATTCTTAATTTTTCCCTTCCTCAAAAAATCTTTATTCTTACGTGATATCCAGTAGAAGAACTATGTTTTTAAAATACTGTAAGTCATATCTTAAAAATATGGATAAGAAGTGAAACTAAATAAAAATAACTTTGTTGTGCAACAATGTGCAAGTACTTCATAGTTCTTTCTTTTTGTTTTTTAGTTTTATTGTTGGTCCTGGAGCTTGACTCTGGGCCTGGCACTGTTCCCGAGCTTTTTTACTCAAGGCTAGTGCTTTATCACTTGAGGCTCAGTTCCATATTGGGCTTTTTGGTAGTTAATTGAAGATAAAAGTCTCATAGACTTTCCTATCCAGATTGGCTTAGAACCATCATCTTCAGATCTCAGCCCCATGAGTAGCTAGGATTACAGATGTTGGCCACCAGTGCCTGGCCTTTTAAACATATTTTATAAATGTTAGAAGTAATCAATGTAATATCAGAAAACATTATTTAATAGTTAATATTTTTATTTACCTTATCACCAAGAGCATCTCTCTCTTTTTTAAGCTTCTTCTTAGCTGCCAACTTTTCCTAAGGGGTTATAAACAAAAGAAGAATATTAAGAAACCACCACTTCCATCACAAACATGTATTGAAACTACAATTTACTCATGAATATTTCAACTGGGAAAGCTCTGTAATCTATTAAAATAACCATCCAAATATGTTTTAATTTCACTTTATTATTATTTTTTAAATGTAGTTCGGAACAGTATAAACTCTCTACCTTCTACCTTCCCAGTACTAGAATTATAGGCATATATCACCAAACCCACCCAGATACAAATATGTATAGTTACTATAAGGCAAATGAGCAATCTAACCAATAAGGTTTACTTAACAAAAATCCTGCTTCTTCAAAAAAATTTATCTAGCTTGAACTTTCTCTGGTTTTAACTTTTCTACAAAGCTTCAAATTAATGAATAGCAATGCAAAATGTGTATCCAAACAAATGTAAAAGTTTTGTTTTTCCTTAATGTTTGTACCTAAAGAGGATGATGGGTAAGGACTGCTTCTCTTGGAAAGCACTAAAAATAAACAGAAACGGTCATTCTCATATCTTATAATCAAAATATGCTCTTAAAATTAGTAAGAACTTGAAAGGTTGATTAGGATTAATTTGCTACAAATCTTTATTTTCTGAATTCAAGACACAATACTTGATTCACAATAGAAAATATTTTTTTTTCTTAGTGCCTACTGACTGTCAATCCATCAGGTCTCGAGTGAGAAAGCGTAGTCCTAAGAAGTCATGGAGGGATTCCTCCCTTACATTACTAGCACATCACAATGGGGCACTTGTCCCTCCTATGTACTCCAGTAATACCTTGACACATTTGTAAGATTTAGTGTCAAGGCTTCTAGTTTGAATAAGTAAATAAGCACACAAAGGATATTATGTCTATGCTTTTATGATTTCCAAAAACACTCAAATACTTTCTTCCTATTGCAATTTGCCACACAGGAGCACTGTGACTGTTGGCAAGTCGGTTAAGGCTCTCTACAGTCAGTGTATGCTTCTTTCCCAGAGAAGTGTGAGTAGGCGGTGGTAAGAAGCAAACGCTATTAGCAGAAACTTTACAGACTTCACTAAGTTTCTGTGGGAAACGCATGTATTCACCATGTTCATGGAATGCTTGGCTGACAACATATTTATGCAGATGAACCAAAGCTGGGTAAACTGGGCAAAACAAAGAGGATTTCAGATTTGCTGTCTAGGTAGTGGGGCAGAGCAGGACCTCTGACAGGACGCCGGGAGGAAGCTAGCCAGGAGGGGAAGCCCTTGACCTAAACGCGAGGAGCGAGCAACCCACGTACCCACCAGCCACCCAACCCCCGGGCAGAGCGCCGACTGGCCCGCGCGCCCCGGCGTGCCTGGCGCGGGCAGACGGCGCATGCGTCGGGCCGCCGCCAGCGCCCGCCTCACCTTCCGCTGCTGCTGCTTCCACCGCGTGAACATCAGATGTCGTCGCTGTTTGTTCTTGATCTCTGAGATGCTGAAGCCTGGCGGAAAGGCTGCTGCCTTCGGCGGCGGGACCCCGTTTTCCGTCGCCGCATCTCCAGCGACCACCGTAGCCTCCTGAGGTTCTTGGGCAGCGGCTTTCCTTTTGAGGCTTTTCTTTCCGCCACCGCCACTCGTCCCGCCGGCCTTCGCCATGTTGTGTTTGCTCCTAGGCCGCTGTACGGAACCGGAAGTGCCTTTCCTCTCTGACCCGGGCGTGTTTACTTCCGGGGTCGCGACGTTTCGGAAAAAGTGGCGTGGTGACTTTCAGACCTGTAGAGGGGAGGGCTGAAGACGAGGCTTGAGGAAAGCCTCGCTGGGTGAATAGTGAAAAGGAGATGCATCCCTTGAATGTCTGCTATCCACGCTCTGCAGCAGACTAGAGCAAAGCAACCCTGGCCCCAAGTGAGCTCACAGGTGTTTTAGTTCCCAGCCTTGCACTTGTATGAACACCCTGAACACTTGATCCCTGCCTCCAGCCCTTTTAACTTTAGCCGTTTCATTCTTAACAGCTTTAACAGTTACAACTTTAAGCAGTTAAATACATGATAAATCCACCTGTCTGCTGGATTCACAGGCATGCACCACCACTCCTGGCTTGTTCTTTGACATAGGATCTCACCAATCCCTCTCCCCGCTCCCCAAATGCACACACACACACCAGGTTGGCCTCAAACCCATAATCTTCCTCTCTCTGCCTCCCAGTTAACAGCTGGGATTAGTCCTGAGTCACCGCACCTAGTCCTTTAGCTTGAACATTTTGATGATGTAGTACTGTGTTGATGCTTCATGTTTGCACCTATTTTAATTCTCTTAAAAACAGGATGTTGATAGCCATCAGCTCTCTTTTCCAGAATATAAATCCCATCGTTAACCTTATAGGCTACCACTCCAAAATTGTAACAATACAATAAGAAGAGAAAGGTGTATTTAAAGGTATTGAGTTTGAAATTATATGTGAATTTAATGTACTACACCATGCCATCTCATACATTTTATTCAAACAGGGATAATCACACCAAAAATAGGGAAGGGGAGTAAGGGCAGTAAGAAGAGAAAAGGCATGACAGACAGAAATACTGTCATCTGAAATAATATAGACTACAAAAATATATATCTATGTGTGTGTGTGTGTGTGTGTGTGTGTGTGTGTATATATATATATATATATATATATATGCTTTTGGGGCAACCATTCTGTTACTTGAACCACTTTCCTTCTTCCTTCACCAATTTTTTTTTTTACTATGCTTACTAGCATACATTAGTGTACAAGGGAGTCTCATTGTGATAATTCCGTTTATATGTACAGTATACTCTGAACAAGTTTATACCCTTCCTTATATTCCATTATCCCTCATCTCTTCTCCTTCATCTTTTAAGCAGTGTCTGGTGAGTTTCATGATGCTGTTTTCATATACTTCATTTACCTTCATGTACTAGATACATTAACATGTTTGATTAAGGGATTTCTATGATCATAACAAAATGCTTATTCTGATGAAGTAAAAAACAATTTTGAAAATTTGAATTTAATGATACTCATTATAGTTTGTTTCTCTCTCCCAATGCCCCATATGTTAATGGCTTGTTTAGTTATTTAACATTTAACAATTTAAATTTCATCAGTAAGAAATGCATAAAGTGCTGTATACAGACAATGAGATAGTAGTCTCAAAAATGAAGGTAATCCTGCCATTTATGATAACATGGATGGGTAAGGAGGAAATAAGTGAACTAAGTTGGTCATAACTAAAAAAGTAGTATATGATCTTATTGTGTGAATATAAATCAACTGAACTCATGAAGTAGAGTAGAATAGTGTTTACTAGAAGGCTGGGGAAAGGGAAAACAAGAAGATATTAGTCAAGGAATTTCTCTTAGTGTGACAAAATACTGAAATAATAAAAAAGAATAAAGTTTATTTTGGTTTACAGTTTTAGAAGTTTCAGTTAATGATCATTTGTTCCCCTTGCTTTGAGCTTGTGATGAAGCACCATATTATGGCCAGGAATGCATGGTAGAGCGGCCTGCTTAACTCACAGCTGTTGGGATCCAAGAAAGGAAAGAACTGAGTCCCAATATCCACTTCAAGAACACAAATCTAGGAACCAAAATTTCTTGCATCAGTCCCTATATCTTAAAAGTTTCACCACTTTTCAATAGTGCTATAGGCTGGTGCTGTGTCTTGGACACACAAACCTTTGCTCCCTCTTTCCCTCCCTCCCTTCTTCTCTTTCTCCCTCTCCCTTTCCCTCTCCCTCTCCCTCTCCCTGTCTCTCTCCCTCTCTATCTCTTTCTCTCTCGCCTCTCTTACACACACACACACATACACACACATTAGAGTTCTCTCTCACACACACACACAGACACACACACTAGAGTATCTGTGAGGTGCTACATCATTAACTTGATAATTTAGAGTATAATACACATGTACAACAAATAAGTCGTACACCTTAAATATAACCCCCAAAAAAGAACACAATAAAAATCAGAGTAGAATTAATACAATTTTATGAGGAGACATTGGAGACATTACACCATCTCCCATTCAAAAGTCAATGAAAACATTAAAAAATCTGAGGAATAATTGTATAGTAAGTTGTAATCCTCACTAACAAATAATATTATACATGTGCTGGCCTTGTCAAAAACCCAAACTATATTAGGAAATCTACAGATAGATCTTCAGATTCTGTCTTTTCATTTCTCACCATTTTCTTCAGGCTTCTAACTTTTTCAGTAAATTTTAAGATTGCCATGACACAATGACACTATGTTTTCCAAGTATCTCTATCCTTACCAATAAAATGAGCTGTTTAGACAAACAGGAATTTAATGTTGACATGTTAATATGTTCATGCTTATATGATAATATTTACATAAAATATACACATAATTTCCACATATGCATTTCCATGTGTCCCAAATTTCTCACTAGAAAAATCAATACCACAATCAAATATCATCTCTTAAAGGTTAGTGTTGTGTGAGTTTACCCAAGGATTTTCTTGTTACATCTTTGGAATATTTGGCTCTCTAACTGGTGTTTCTGAAGTTGAAGTTACCTCTACTACAACACAGTGTAGAGGAAGGGTTTAGGGAGTGTGGGATTTATGGGTCTCTTATTGATGTAAATTTCCAGAGCTCTTTATCAGGCTGAGATCTCGCTCTTACCTTGTTTTATCTGTGAATCTTTAAAAATAGGCTTACTTTCTATTCCTGTCTTTAATTAACAAGAATAATCTTAGCATAAAGTTTTAATATAGTCTGGGACTCTACTTATGAAATCAGTATGAGTGCCTTGAGATTCCTTCTTCCTACTCAGTTGTTCACTGTGCAAGCCACACTTCACTGTATGAGAGGTTCTAAGGGAGACTCAGAGTTCCTACTGAAGGTTTTTCTCTTTTTCTAACTCACTACAGAAAATGTATCTCACAGCCTTTATTATTAAACTACAGGTAGTCAATAAATGTTTTAAAATTTCTCCTGAACTTTATTGTTCTCCTTTATAGCAAAGAAATGAAATACATAAAAGTCTCTTTATCCTTTTTTCCTTTGTGGATGAAAAGGTCTAAGATGATGCTGGTTTAACTCCATAGAAAATTGAAAGAAAGTTAAGCTTCATTTAGGGAGAAAAATAAAATTCATTCTTTCCTGCTATTGCCATCATGAAAAAATTGAGGGGAAGGGCTTCTCCTAGAGAGGGAAAGGTAAAGAGATAAAGAACAGCCTGAGTAACGGAAGATGTGTTAATGAGATCAGCATTAAAAGTGGTGGTATGGAGAATTGGATTACTCTCCTACCTTCCTGTTTCCCTTAGTATGTCACTGCTACTTACTAGACTGTCATTGGACTGAACTCATAGGGATTAGTGATAAAGAAGAGTTCATTCTCAGCTACAGGAAGAATTTGTTGATTGTGCTTCCCTAAAATGATCCTCTTTTATTCTAAGCCCTAGAGATCAGGATAGAAAGCCGTCTATCCCAATATCTGTCCTAGTCAGTTGCATTTGTTTGTGACTGAAATATGCTAGGAAATTCCAGAGATCTCTAGATACTAGACTAAATTGTATTTTGCTAAAACCTTGCAAAAGGCCTTTTGAGCTACTTGATGTATAAAACATGGGGGCACAAATGGAGGCTTAGTGGAAATACAGAATTTCAGAAGTCTACCAACTGAAAGACCCCTAGGTAAATAAACATTGAAGATTGAGGGCTGTGGGGCTGGGAAGGTGGCTCAGTGATAGAGTGCTTGCATGCATGAGGCCCTGGGTTTGATTCCTCAGCAGCACATAAGCGGAAGAAAAAAAAAAAAAAGGAAGTGGCACTGTGGCTCAAGTGGTAGAGTGCTAGCCTTGACCTGAAGAGCTGGGGGACAGCACCTAGGACCAGTGTTCAGGCCCCATTACCACCAAAAAAAAAGAAAAAAGAAAGAAAAGCACTGTCCAAGATAATGTATGTTGATAGTCTTCTCACAGATCAATTATTCATCAATTAGAGACCGTTTTGGAGGCCAAAAGTATTCTGATTTTTTTTTTTCAGTCATGGGGCTTGAACTCTGGGTCTGGGTGCTGTCCTTGCGCTTTTCAGCTACCACTAGAGCCTCAATGCCACTTCCAGTTTTCTGGTTAATTGGTGATAAGTCTCACGGACTTTCCTGCCCAGGGTGGCTTTGAACCATGATCCTCAGATCTCAGTCTCCTGAGTGTCTAGGATTATAGTCATGAGCCACCATTGCCTGCTCTGATTATTTTTAAACAGTATTTTGTGGTTTTTAAAAACAGTGCTTTATTATTATTACTATTACTTTTGAGTGCATGTCAGTTTTGAGTCTTGATCTCAGGGCATGGATACTGTCCCTGAGCTTTTTGATGCTCAAGGCTAGAGCTCTACTATTTGAGCCACAACTCCACTGACTTTTTTTCGGTGGTTAATTGGAGATAAGAGCCTCACACTCTTTCCTACCCCAGCAATCTTCAAACCTCAGTCCTCACATTTCAACCTCCTGAGTAGCTAAACCTACAGACATGAGCCACCAACACCCAGCTTTGTTTTTACTATTTTTAAAAGTGATTTATTGCCTGAAAGTAAGACAGACTAGTAAAAGTACATTATGAGAAATGGATTGGTTTCTCTTTCTAATTTAGTCTTTGCACATGAGTGAAGTAAGATTTAACATGCCTC